ATTTCAGTGAATTCCTTCTTTTGACCCACCTCACTGAGTAGTACTCCTGATATTTGTATCTTACCCAAAGAGTAACTGAAAATACAGCCATCCTATAATGTGCCATCTTAAGAATCTCTCCAGATCTCAATATATGCATTATTAATCAACTGGAAATCACAAATTCATGGACCATTAAAACTGGAGTGATACTAACCTCCCTATTTATTTAAAGGATGAGAAAACTGATATAAGCAACTTGTCAAGATTTTCTAGAATTCATTTCTCCTTTTTTAGGTCAATGAGTTAGACTAGACTTCTCCATTCCTGCCTGATAAGATGAACTGTAATTCAATGCATAATATCATAATTTTTTGTGAAATTTTTCTAATAAAAATAATTATTGATGGCAACTGAAGAGAAAATAATTGAAAAAATTTTTGGATACTTAAATCAAGGTATACTTTTATTCCCATCAAACTTTTTATATTTTTTCTAATTAGCTATTTGTGACTGTAGAATGCATTTTGACATATGATTCATAAATGGAGTATAACTTCTCACTCTTCTGGTTGTACATGATGTAGAATTAAACCAGTAATGTATTCATATATACACATAGGGTAATGATGTCTGATTCATTCCTATATTCTTCCCACCCCCATATACCCTTGCCTCCTTTCACTCCCCTATGCCTAAGCCAAAGTACATCTATTCTTCCGTAGCCACCCCCTTATTGTGAATTAGCATCCACATATCAGAGAAAACATTTAGCCTTTGGTTTTGGGGGATTGGCTTATATTGCTTAGCAAGGAATTCTCTATCTCCATCCATTTACCAACAAATGCCATTATTTGATTCTTCTTTAAGGCTGAGTAATATTTTAATCTGTACTTATATCACAATTTCTTCATCAATTTATCTCTTGAAGTCACCCAGGTTGATTATATAGTTATTGTGAGATGAGCTTCTGTAAACATTGATGTGGCTGCATCACTGTAGTGTACTGATTTTAAGTCCTTTGGGAAAAAACAAGGAGTAGGATAGCTGGGTCAAATGGTGATTCCATTCCAAGTTTTCTGAGAAATCTGCATATTGCCTTTCATAGTTGTTGCACCAATTTGCAGCCCACCAACAATATATGAATGTACTTTCCCCCCCACAGCCTCACCAACATTTATTGTTGCTTGTATTCTTTATAATTGCTATTCTGACTTGAGTTGAGATGAAATCTCAATATAGTTTTAATTTGCATTTCTCAATTGATTGTATTTTTTTCTTTTGTGAAGTGTCCAGTTCCTTAGCTCATTTATTGATTGGGTCACTTTTTTTTGGTGTTAAGTTTTTTGAGTTCTTTATATTTACCTGGAGATTAATGCTCTATCTGAGATGCCTGTGGTAAAGATTTATTTTCTGTTCTGTAGACTCTCTGTTCACATTATTGATTATTTTCTTTGCTGAGAAGAAGCTTTTTTAGTTTGAATCCATTCCATTTATTGATTCTTCATTTTATTTCTGGAGCTTTACAAGTCTTGTTAAGGAAGTCAGATGCTAAGCAGACATGTGAAGATTTGGGCCTACTTTTTCTTCTACTAGGTGCAGGGTCTCTGTTCTAGTGCCTAAGTCCTTGATACATTTTGATTTGAGTTTTGTGCAGGGTGAGAAAGAGGGATTTAATTTTGTTTTGCTGAATATGAATTTCCAATTTTCCCAGCACCATTTGTTGAAGAGAAAAGGCTTTTCTCTAATGTATGATTTTGGCACCTTTGTCTAGTATGAGATAACTGTATTAATGCGAGTTTTTCTCTGTGTCTTCTATTCTGTAAAAGGTGCTTTTTCTTGAAATGTGAGAATGACTCACAGTAAATTAATAGGAATTTAAGAATTTTTTTGAGCTGTGACAATCTTTGGCAGGTAATTATGAGGAAGATAATCATCACACAAGACAAACTCAGGAGATTCTTCCATAAGCTCCAAGGTGAGAGATCAATGTCTTGGGTTGTCAAGAATTCTCACCACTACATCTAAAATTCAACACAAATAAAGATATAATTTCATTCCTAGTATCTATCAAATTTTACTCAATGTATCTACTGTTTATTTATTTTTTATATTTTATTTTTTAATTAGATATACATGATAGTAGAATGTATTTTGACATATATACATGGAGATAACTTCTCATTCTTCTGGTTATACATGAAGTAGAATTACATTGTTCATGTAATCATATATGCAGATTCTTATATCCAGCTATAATGTCCCAATGCAGGGACATTATATTGTATATCCTACATGAAGTATTAATTAATAATAAGTAAAGTAGGACAGCACATTTCTGAGAAGACAATTTTTCACTTTTCTTATGGTTTCAAAGGAGTCTGTGACCCAAAATTAAGAATCATTGTCCTAAAATGACACAATCCCTTAGGCCACAAGGTCCAGTTTAATGAAACAAACAAACAAAAGTATGTGTACAAAGACATGAATTGGCGTGAACATACTTTGTATACAAAGATATGAAATATTGTTCTCTCTATGTGTAATAAGAATTGTAATGCATTATGCTATTGTGTATTTTAAAAAATAAAATCAATAAAGAATTAATTAAGATGACACAAAAATCAATGTGGATGTCAAATCTTGCCAATCATGGTGGTGATCAGAATACTAACAATGTAGAAAAATGAAAACCAGAGATAATTTCTACTCTTCACTTTGGGAAACTCTTTTTAAGAGTGACTTGGTTGCATGTGGTGATGCATTCCCATAATCCCAATGACTCTGGTGGCTGAGGCAGGAAAATCAAAAGTTGTAGGTCAGCCTCATCAAATTAGTGAGGCATTAAGAAACTTAGAAAGACACTGCCTCAAAATAAAAAATGAAGAAGCCTGCAGTTAATCAGGTGTTTTCTCTTCATGTCTAATGATTAACAGTCATTAAATGGTTACAATTTTGTTAGATACTATGCCAAGAAATTTGTACCTAAATACTCAGTTAAACCCTAAATCAATCTAAAGGGTTATCGATATTACTCACATTTAAAAGAGGAGAATTAGAGTACACAAGCTTGGCCAAATTTGCAGTCACACTATGAACCAAGTTTCCAGCCTCCACAGATGAACTCATTTCCAAATTTGTAATGCTATTCTCTTCAAAGAAAGTATTGATCAGATAGCTTTTCACTTACTTCTGGTAATGAACCCTCAGCTTTAACTGATGACACCTATGGCCCTTGCACAGTTCTGCTCATCCACAAGACAGCCATTCAAAGAACATAGGCTAAGAATTATAAAACGAGGACCAGGAAGGAGCAAGGGTTGCCAGCCAGAGTTATACTACGAGGCTCTTTCACCAAGACTGTGATGAGCATCACAGTTACTGAGCTTCAGAAAGATACCAGCAGGGCCAGGAATCAGCCAAACCTTAGGTAGCAGCTGGTGGAGCAGGATGCAGTGTTCTTGCCACAGGTTAGAAAAGTGGCTGGTACTAAAAACAGCTGGTGCAGTCACAATTATTGCTAATGCCATTCTTGTGCTTCTTTTCAAACTTAGAAATTTCAAGAACATTCATGGCCTCTTTGCTGTAAGAGAAGCTTTCTCCTCCCTCTTTTGAGGATAAGCCTTATTATGTAAGTATGAAGCCTGTGGTGGCTCCTTAACTCGTCCTACTTTTCCCATCCACTTCATCCTGACCACCATGTGTGGCATAGTCTTTTGTGTTACAAAGATGTCACACCCAGATCAAACTAGGATAAAGAAAACCCTCTTCACAGGGTTTTTTTTTCCTGTCAGTAATTAAAAATAGAAATTTGTTATTATGAAGAATTATTTCAAAAATATATAAGAGATTTCACATACTGGCATTTTCTTTTTCTCTTGTTAATTCAAAACTGCAACCAAAACATCAATCTTTAAAAAGCTCAAAACATAATTTCTCACATTAAATGCAATTTTGACTGTAGTAAAACAAAGGCACAGCATGTTCCCATGCATTATTAGTACACAATGGCTTACTTCAGGGGTGAGAAAACAGAAAACCTGTTGACTCTAGAAGGACTTGGACTTTTTCTAAGCCCAGGGGACTTTCTATATCACACCACAATAGAAAGTAAGCAAACACAAATGTATTATGATATTGAATACAACTTACATCACATTGCCGGAACAGCCTTTGCTTACTGTTGTATTGTGTCCTGAACAGAAGTTTTGTTCCAAAAATTCATTATGCTGCAAAGCCTATAATGCAATGGGGAAGCAGGGCAAGGTAAATTGTTTCAAATTTCAAAGGCCAAGGTGAAAGAATTTCAAGTTCAAGATCAGCCTGGCCAACTCAATCTAGTCAGACTTTGTCTCAAAATAAATAAAAAGAGTTAGAGATATATCAAAGTGTTAGAACACAGGCTGAGCATATGTACCTAGTACCCAAAAGAGAAAAAATAAAAGGTTACAAAGAAGTATCTCAGTTATATTCTCAAAATTAATCTTTATTATTATTATTATTATTATTTTATTATTGATCTATGGTAATATTTCTTGTTTGTTTCAATCAAAACCAGTTGTAATTCTTGGAAATAGCAATTTGATTGTACTGTGTCAAAACACAGCTTTCTTTGGAGCCAATTAACTTGCTAAAGCCAGTATGGCTCTGAGTATTACATGGTCTTTGTTTCTCTTCTAATTTCCCTTTTAATATAAGTTATGTGTTCCAGTCTCCCATTCCTCATTTATTCCCTTATTGAACTGAATATGTTTTTCATTAATTAGTCAATTCTTCCCCTTTATTGAGATTTCTTCCCACCATTCATCTCTCTGAAACAATTAGGTGACTGAGGAAAACCCCAAACAAATCTCTGACCTTGTGATTACCAAGGCTAAACAAATATTCATGCATTTCTTCTGAAAGACAGTTCCTGGATAAGAGACATTCAAAGCTCATGGCTGGGAAATGAGAGGATGAGGCTTGATTTTGTTTGTTCCCAGCTTAGGAACCCCTCACAATGACAGATGAAGACAACTTACCATATAGCCATAATGAGGAATACTGAAGTACTGAAGCCAGGAGAGCTGAGGTGCCATGGTTTCAGAATTCAATGACATACCCAAGAAAACCTATGAAAAGCAAAACCAAGTATCAGAACTGGTGCAGTGTTTTTATGAGGAACTCTGAACAAGGTCCTCTATAAGAACTCCATCACCATCTAAACATTTCTGCTAGGATATACTCTTTCTTAAAATTCTTTCACTTACTCTAAACGTTAATCTTTGTCTTTTGAATATCTATACCTTTGTATAGCTAAGTCAGTTTATGGTATTAAAGGAAGGATAATATACCTATAAACTATATTATATGTTTCACTTATTTGGAAGATTTGGGAAAATATACTTATAATCTGTATAATAGGTTTTATTTATTTGGAGAATTCTTAATGATCAGGAATATGTCATTAGCTTTCCCCTGTGACTGTACACAATGGAAGATTAAGAAATACAGCTGTCTCTCAGTATCTAAGGAACTGGTTCTAAGACCCACCCATCTCAACCACAGTTACCAAAACTTGCAGATGCTTAAATCCCTTATTTTAAAAATGGCATAGTTTTGTATGTAACCCATATACATTTTTATGCTGTAAATATACACATCTTGTATATTTTAAATCATTTCCATGTCTAAGGATACTTAGGAACAGATGCCAGAAAATCCTGATCATCACACATTCCCCCTCTACTTCCATACAATATGATTTGTTATCTAGAAGGATCTGCACTATATATCCATAACTTTTGGTGTAATTTTGGGGCTCAAAATGCAGGCTTACCATGACCCAAAGCCTAAAAATTGATAAAGAGAATAATGTGATAAAGTATAGCTGAAAAAATGGTCAATAACCTCACCTAAAGCTAACAGAAAGCAGTATCACAATGATGATGATAGGAGGGGATGCTCGAGATGAAAAAGAGACATCTATGCGGTCCACATAAGACTTGACTTAACTGGTGTGTCATGCCCTGGGATATGCAAAACAATGACAGTGTTGTGCTGTGAAAGCATATATTTACTCTTGACCACTCCATGCTCTCAGTATATAACACAGCATCTCTAAGTAAAATGTGGTTTTATGGTTTCTAAATTTGCACAGAGAAATCTTTACATGTGAATCAGTCAGAGCACAAAATAAACAAAACACTTTAATTTATTGATGAACACTTCATTTACTGAATGACAGTATAGGAAACATAATATAAGACATCACTTTCTCAATGATATACATGGATAGTTGCCAAATTTAGAAACAGAAGAATTAAACTTTGGCAAGCACTTATGTTAATTCTGCTTCATATTGAAAGGCATCTGCTCCTACTGTAGCAGAAAGGACATATTAATGGCTAGGCACTCCTGTTTAGTTCAAATCATAGTAGTAAGTAGTTCCATTCATCTGTTGATTCATCATTGTGAGTGCAATCTTTAGAGGCATGTAACATTAGAACTAAGTAACCACTGGAAACAAAATAAGAGCAGAGAAATATTGACATAAGGGATCATCAGGAAGCCAGAAATAATTAAGCTTTATCAGTGGTTCCTACTTTGGTGTGTTGTCAAAAATAGGTATTTCTGGTGTTTTTATATGAGATATATATGTATGGAAATATTCATGAAATGAAACTAGGGGGAAACCTGAGCATAATACATATGTTTGGGAATATTCCATTATTTTAAAACTCAAGTTAGACTCCCCATGCTGCACACTCATGAAGTTTCACTCTGACCTTGGAGAGTGGTGAATCCTACCAAACCATCTCTGTTATGGGTAAACAGCTGGCAATTCTCTAATACCAGCATCAAAGGCAGGCAGGTAACCAGTCTTTTTTTATGAGGGAATGTGCCAATGATAGTTCCTCTGGATTATGAAGTTCTAATTAATGAAGGTGAATGTGCATGAAGAAACAAGGAGAGAAATTCCCTCTCAAAGAAACACAGGTTCCTACTCACCAGCATAAACACAAAATATGAAGTCACCAGAAGTGTTTTTCCAGATGCTGCATTCTCATGTATTCCTATAGCCAAGATCATGGAAGTGGCGGTATAATTCACCATCAAAGCAGTAATCATTATGATGAGGAAAGCTGTTATCCCCCGTTTCAGCCCTCAGAAAGAAAAGAAGGGGTCAGTGCAACTGTCTAGGTCACCTTGTATTTCAGAATGTTCAACATGCAAAGAACACTATAATTTTCCAGTCAACTAATATCAAAATGAAAAAAGACAAACATGATCCAACTATCATGGTTCACCGTTTCATTTTTCCCTCTTTGTAACTGCACAAAGCTATCACAGTTTTCTTTCATGCATTTACTGATGAAGGACCTTTCCATGTAATACCTACTATCCTTTACATGTAATTATGAACAATATCAAAGTTGCTGAGATGGAGAGATATAGGCAACACAAATGGCTAAGGAGACTCAAGAACATATTCATGTATCCAGACATCACCACATTGTTCACTGTTTGCTGCAACTGCATTAGTGAAGAAACTGGGGTTCAGATTCCACAAGTGGATTTGGTGTCTTGGGAAATGGAGAGTTTCTCCATAATGGAAGACTTCAATAGACAAAGGATCATATGGCTCTGTGATACAGAATGGTTAGGTTAAATCACTACTTTATAAATGATAATAAACTCATGCTCTGGGTCATACGTTGTGAAGATTTTGAAACAGCTTCAGGAACACCAAAGAGGAGTCTAGGGGGTCTAGATTTCATGAAAAATTCTTTATGACACAACTCTTATTTGTAAAATGGAAGATTTTAAGCTCTATTAGTGGTTCTTACTCTCGTGTGTTGTCAAAAAATAGGTATTTCTGGTGTGTTTATATGTGTGTGTGTGTGTGTGTGTGCATGTGTGCACGTGTGTGTGTGTGTATGTGTATGTGAGACAGATGGAAATATTCATGCAATGAAAGTGGCAGGAAACCTGAGCATAATGCACAAACACATCCATATCCACCAAAAAATAGTTTTATTAAATAGTTTTTTTGAATCAATCTACTTTAAAAGTCACCATCTTTCTTTCACCATAGAAGGAGATGGAGAGATGTGTATGTTGACTATTTATCCCTCTCAATAAATATCTATAGATATCAGAGATATTACCTACATATCTATATCTTATCTCCATACAGAGATATATGTAGAGAGATAGGAGAAATGTAGATAAATAGGCAATAAATATCCCAGCTCCTCCAGGATAGTCTTAAGTAGTTTTATAAATTTCCTCAATATTTGTGTATGACACACAGCATTTCGTCATAAAATGTAGTTTTAAAACCAGTTTTAAAGTTTGGTTGAACTGGTCACAAAGGCACAAGGTTGGCTTGGTAAGCACAGCTACTTGGAAGACTTGAGGCAACAGACTCATGGCTAGCCTGGACAATTTATCAAGATTAAAATGTCTCATGTTAAAATAAAAATAAAATTAAGTGGTATATCCCTTGCCTAACTGGGTTTAAAACCCAGTTACTGCCCTCCCCAAAGTTTGTTTAGGAAAAGACTAAACAATGCTCACATTTAGCATTAGAGATAATGCTATATTAGAGATAATACAATGCTTAAATAGCTTTTGGCTTAGTTTGTAGTTTGGAGAACTATGAACATCCTTACAAAGAGAAAATACAAATTAGTATCAGCTCATATCTAAGACTAAAGACACATCCTCTTTGTCTTGTTACTTACCTAACATCAAGTATACCACAAGAGTAAATATAAAACTTGGGAAAAAAACTCTTGAATAGTAAATCAAATACCAGTTTTCCAAGGAAGTAAGATAACACTTGGTAGTATCCACTGATGTATTCAAGTATTAAAAACAAAAACACCACACATCCCAGATTAGTCCAAGAGGCACAGCCCAGAGGAGGTGCTGCTGTGAAGACTCCTGGTGCCACCAGGTCTGACACTGTAGCTGCCCAAAGGCTCCAGGCTGACCCCCTACACCCTTCTCCACCTCAGGTGCAGCCTCCCTGGGGTATCAGCCCCCAAGGCTCTTGCTGTGACCCTCTCTCATGACCGCACCCCTCCTGCTGCTGCCCACTCTGACCCACATCACCCCTCCAGGGACAGAGTCTGCATCTCCTCACTCTCCTCAGAGACTCTGCTTCTCCTCTGTGGCTGGCTCTGCCTGAGGAGCCGTCCTTGAGGGGCTAATCCAAGTGTAACAGAGCCTTTTCTTCTCTCCATACTTCTGAGTATGAAGAAGGTGATATTGATTTTCTCCAAGGCCCCAATGTAGCTGCACATCCCGAAACTCCTTTAACTTCTGCTACTCTCATGTTACAAAAGAAAAAAAGAAGTCTTCTTCCTTCAATGATCACATCTCCATAGTGCAGCCCTGTTGGCTACCAAATCCTCATCTTTCCTCTACCTCTTGTCTCTCTCTCATAAACTCTTCCACCCGTGTCTTTATTCCTTCACTCTCTGATGATGCCTGTCCTTGGCATGTAAGTATGGGAAAATCTTTTCCATCTTTGAAAACAGAAGAGACAAAACCAGTCTGCTCTTTACTGTAAGGCTCTCCTCTCCCATTTCTACTCCTCCATCCAGTAAGGGAAGTTAAATTCTTTGTCAGTTTTACTTCCTACCTCTAATTTGCAGATGATCCCACCCTTTAATCTCTATTGAGCTTCTTAAACTTTTTCCGCAAGTGCCATCATGACCTACTATTTGCTAAAAACAAAAAGATAATTTCAGCCCATTTATTTCTTATTCTCTATGTAACACTGGGATTCATTGACCACATCTAACCATGAAACTCTCTTTTCCCTCAGTAGCAGACCCCACTTCCTCTTGATTTTCTACTCCATCCCTGAATGCTTCTTTTCAATTAATATTAGCAATCCCTATACAGACTTCAAAAGCTAGGTTGCACATTATATGTGTATACAATTTACATTTGTCAATTAAATGAACTAAAAAAAATAAAAGAAAACAATACTAGTAATCTCCCAGATTACATCCTTGGCTCACTTCTGAATGTTACCAGTTTGACCAGCTGGCTCTTAGGCTACTTCCCAGAGTGGAAACCTACTCACATAAAAATATTCCTCTCCATCAGGAAAATATCCCTGGCTGAGATACTCATGATACTTTGGAACACAGTCAGCACATAGAGTGACCAGGTTCTGCAGAAGAGGAAAAAAACACTACAGTTAATTCAATACAATTAGGAAAGTTTCCTACTCACAGAACTTTTTATATCTGTAATGATATAATATTAAGCAGATTTTTAAAAAATACAGGTTAAAATAGGGAAGTGTGACCTTGTGAGGTCTCTCCCCAATTCTATGTCTCCACAGTGGTGTCTCTATGACTGTGTACTATAGTACAGTTTTTGAGGTGTGTGACATTTTGCTGAACACTTATGTTCAGACACAGCCATTAAAAAGTCTCATCAAGAAACGAGATTTTTAAGGGTACTTATAAAGGTAATTCCATAGGTAACAATCACTGCACTAACCTAAGTGCTACTCATGTAACAACAAAATTCTAATTCTACCCACTGATCCTACACATCCTTGAAGAAAAAGGGGACAGTAAAACACCAGGCCCTCAATGCCCCTTTTTGTTCCAAAAATCTAGCCAAGTTAGGGGAACAATAAGAACATTCCTGTGACAAAAATTCCAGATATATATTATCTTGAGGTGCCCTGGCTCTCTTTTCCATATGCCGGGGACTAGGGCAAGTTAGTGTTACCTGTTGAAAGTTACTTTCTTACACTTGTTCCTGGACAGTTATTTCTTAGGATGCTGCTTCTTGCAAATGATAGATGGTAGATAGACACGGGTGGGGGGGATAAGCAGCTAAGAGGTTAATTCCCTATGTTGAGCCTAAGTGCTGACTCCTCACATGTTTTCTTTAAGAAGAAATTTACCCAAAGCCAGTCAGAGTTATTTCCAGGGCTAAGGAATGGGTATGCAAATTCACCTCCATAGATAAGAGAAACACAAATTACCTTGATCCAGGTCTGGTTAGAAGGAAATGAGACCTCTACACAGATCAGAGATTCCCAGATACAGGAAAGGAGAATTATTAAGACAAGATTCCACCAAACAAAAGTTCTTTAAAACAAGTTCCAAAGAAAACCTGTCAGCCAGGCCAGGATGACTTCCATTGTTAGCATATCATTCTAATATCATCATCATAGCCTCCCTTTCCCCTCAAGTTTCACTTAAATGCCTGTAGATAAAAGCATGCCCTGTAGAACTTTAGGAATCTAATGTAGTCTCTAAATCAGAGCTGAGGGGTGATATGTGGGTGGGACTTTGTAACAACTTCTCCTCTTACCCCCAAGAAACTGAGCTCAATAAATAAACAAGTAAAATCAAATGGTCAAGAAAACTCATCATCTTTAAGAAGACTTATCATCTTCCTTGGGGGTGCTTTCTTTCTTAGTAAAATGTGTTAAACTTTTACTATGGTTTGTATCTTGCTTGAAATCTCCTCTGGTGAGAACATGGAAGCTGAGTACACAAAACAACCCCCAAGTAACAACAGTAAAGGAAAGGAGAAAAGTAAGTTAATGTTGCTAATGTCATTGCTTCACCTATGGAACCTGACTCCCTGCAGTAACTGATGGCAGACCAGAGCACAGTGGAGAGTGAGCTGCTCATCAGGCAGCCACCACTGAACAGTGTGGAGACAGATAAGAGGCATTACTTTCTGGTGAAGTCCCAGCAGCACCGAGTGCAGCAGAGGTACACTGCCACTGGACCTCCCCCACACGTATTTCTCAATAAACTCTATAACTCCTGTCACATCTGTGGGTGTCTTCCTTGCTCTATAAATATTCTATTCCTCTTCCTTAGAACAGCTGGGCAGAAATGAGTACAATTCTCAAGTCCAACAAAACAAAAACGTATCAAAGAAACTGGCCCACAAACAACAAATAGGCTACCTGGGATTGCTCAAAATTAAAAACACTTATTCATAAAAGACTCTATGAACACAGTGAAAAGATAGCCCACAGAACGGAAGAAAATACTTGAAAATCATATATCTGATAAATGATTAATATTCCAGGAATAAGAAAAAAACTAAAATAGCAACAATAAACCCCCAAACAATGCAATTTGAAAATTAGCAAAGGACTTAAACAGACATTTCCCCAAAGATTCAGTGGACATCTATTATTTAAAGAAATAAAAAAATAACATTCCTGTGGGGAGATTTAGAAATTGGAACTCTTGTGAGCTGCTGGAAAAAAATGTAAAATGGTGCAGCTGCAGTGGAAGATAGCATAGCAGTTGTTGAAAAAACTAAAGGAATTACCATTTGATCCAACAAAGCTAGGTACCCACATAAAATACTGGAATCAGGAATTCAAACAAATATTTGTATACCATAGCAGCATTATTCACAGCTTAAATGTGTAAACAACCCTCATTTTGAGAAACAGAAGAATAATAAAGGAAATGCCATGTATATTCAATGCACTCTTATTCAGCCTTAAGATGGAAAGAAATTCCAACATATGCTGCAACTTGGATGATTATTAAGGACATAATGCTAAAGAAAATGAGGCACCAAAGGACTAGTAATGTATCAGTCCATGGGTATGAGGATCCTAGACTGGTCAGATTCAGAGATAGAATTGCCAGGGATTGGGATGGGTGAATCTGGAGGGTTACTTTTTAATGTGTATGGAAATTCCATTTGAGAAGATGAAAAAATGTTCTGGAACTGGATGGTGGTGATAATTTCACGAGGTGAATGCAACTGATACCACTTTACTGTATACTTAAAATAGATGAAAGGTCAAAATTTTGTTGAATACTTATCACTACATGCATACCTTTAAAAATATTAACTCTTCCATTCATTTTGCAGTGTGCTTATTTCACCGCCAATAAAAGAATGACATCCACCCCATACTTATTATAAATTCAAATTCATAATGGCTCTTTATAAGCTTGAACAAAGTTAACAGTATTTAAATTTGCTTACCTATTCTGTATTTCAGTACAGTCATTTTTTAGCGCAAGGAAAGTGCCACCTATTATGAGTCCCAGTATCAATGCAATAATTATCTTTTCCAAAAGAAAAATGAAAATAAAGTTGTAATTATAGGTTAAAAAATTTCCACATCATTTTTTATGATACAATATATGGCTACATAATCATATCCCTCTGTGGAGATAAACACTTTAAATGACTTGGTCAGGGTCTCTGGGAGAATATAAAGCAGTGCATGTTATTAGATTGCTTTCCAAATTAAATTGAAAATGTTTGGAGAACTGACAGAACAACAGAGCAGACTACTGGACAAGCTAAGATTCCTCCCAGTGTTCACCAGGAACTGCCAGTTCAAGCCCTAGCTCTGATACCAGACAGTATAGCAGAGTGATGCAGGCAACTGACAAAGTCACTTGGGGAATAAATTAATATCCAAGTGGATAAGAGTTCAGAATTGGATAAAACTCTCAACTTTTGTTTCAGAGCACATGCATAGTTTCATATTTCAAGAGGTTCAATTGAAAACAGATGACTTGACTCATATTGAAAACAAATTAAAAAAATAAATGAAATTTCAGCGCTGGGCATGTAGGTCAGCAGTAGAATGCTAGCCTAACATGTGCAAGACATTGGGTTTTACCCCAGTGCCAAAGAATGGATAAATAATATGTTAAAAGTGCACAAACATAAATTTTGACGATGGTATTTTGCATGATAAAGACAGTTGTAATTTGGCTCCCACCTATACAAACTCTGGTGAGTTCTGGCCAGCATGGGAAATTGTACTATCATTGTCATCAAAGCACTCAGCCAGTTTTCTCTGGGAACACCCAAGTGCCTCCATTACCATCTCTTCTGCTGCTTCTTCAGCCTCAATCAGTGAGGCCTACGGTCAACGCAGCCACCTGAGCTGACAATTCCTCACCATCCTCACCTACTCAGACTGTGGACAACTCCAAAATCACTTTTGTTTTGAGGATAAAAATTATCTTAGGGATGCTTCAATCAACAAAAAGTTAAGGGTCACATTATCAAGTTTTACTTGACGAATTGACAAATAATGATTTGTGGGTTAAAACAAAATACTCTAACATATATGTTGAAAATTTCAAAGTTAAAAAAAAATAATCAATGCTATAATTGTGTCCAGACATGAAGTAATTTGTGAAGAACATTTTAGGCAAGAAGCAAGCCAAAATAGAAAAAAACTAAATCATTATCTGAAAAAAACTGGTTTGTGAAGACCACAATCTGCAAATAATATTATTTAAATAGTTTACTTACAAGATGTCCTTAAACATAAGACTGAAATTTAGGGGAAAATTCATTCTGCTGACATATCTTCACTATACTTCATGTCAGCAGATAAAGCTTTCAAAATAAATGCTGATGGCTCTGCTAATATGCAGCACACACAGGTACATAGCAGTCTATACTTCATAAATGATAACTTATATTCGGTCTTGTTATCCAGAAGCTCTTCATTCATTGTTTCTTTTGTATTCACACTTGATAACTTATACTACCACATCACTAGGATGTCTCCTACAGGCTTAAAGTTCTTTATTTTATGTCAGTTTTCTAATATACTGGCAAATCAGTGAACCCCATGATTATTTCATGTTTTTCAAAGTGTACCTGTGTTATTCTTGCATGAAGAAAAGGAAAGACACAAGGCAAAATAAAACTGCACATTGGAGCAAATGACCGATCTTTGTGCATCTGGCCTCCAGCCTCAGTTTTGAACAGAAGCACTGGGAAAAAAATTCTTCTCCAAATATTTTATTCTGTTTTAGACCAATTGTATTTAACTAGAATTTCTTAAGGTATGTTTTGAGAGAAGTTTGTGCAGTCACTAACAAAATAAATACATTGTCAAGTGTTTAATATGCTCATAGAAACAATGACTCTCCAGGAGATTAATGACAAGTTTTCCAAATTGGTGATTCAGGAAAGGTTTGACATATTAAATGAAATTTTATTCAGATCATCAATTATTTCCAAATAAACCAAATAAAGCCTCTAGTTAGAGATCAATTCTGAGTCATGTAAATAAATAGTAGTTCAAACCAAACTACAACAATAAGTCAAGAGATACAAGATTTATCAGTAGGAAGTCATAAATATTTTAACAACTCTATGATCAAAAACTTAGAGAAATAAAAACCATACAAGACTAAAAACCCTATGCCAAGAGTTAGTGGTTAGGATCCAACTATCTTTTTTGTTTTTTAAGTCCACGAGCTTTTCCTGTGTTTTCTGCCCCCTTTTTAAAAGTTGTGGAAATGAGATAATATATCTTGCACTTGTAATTTATATGAAATTCAAATTCCAGAGTCATGAATACAATTTTATGTTAATTTGCTTATATATGAGCTTCGGCTATTTTCATGCTAAAATGGCAGGGTTGACCACCTGAGACAAAGACCATATGTGGCCCTCAAAGCCAAAAATATTTACATCTGGTCCTTTATTGAAAAGAGTTTGCCTATTCCTACACTAACACTTCAGTGTTCACAAATTTTAACATGAGTTGTTCTGATAAACTCCAGGAGCTTCAAGGTTCTACCCTTCTTCTAGAGATGGCTACTTCTCTGAACACTACTAAATTCCTCTTGTAAGACTAAGTTTGCTGATGAGGCAAGTAGGCTGAACATGCAACCTGGAGACTCTGGGTCTAGTGTTTTCTCCTTAAGGAAGCTGAGACCCCAAATAGGCACAATTCCTGGTATATTCTAAGGAGCCATGTTCTATTCATGCCCTGTCCATAACTACCATATACGTGTCTTGGATGAGACGAAAACCACTTTTAGAGTCAGTAGGATAAACCTAAGACATAAAACACACTAAAGAATCAACTCATTATATCACCCCACTGTTGAACAATGAGTAACCCAGGTTGATGGATCTAAGTTATTAGACATGATTCCAAAAGATATCAGATCTATTCTCAAAGAATAAAATGTTACCTTTGATTGATAGGACACAAAAATGGCCATGCTCTGGCAGAATGACAAATTAAAAGTTCAGAAACATTTGGAAAAACTGACCGCATGACTGAAATAGGAATGCAGCCTCTCAATACACCTGGAAGGTGACAATACTTAAATATGAAAACTGTGGTTCTTATGTTAAAAAGTCATTTCAGTAGACAGTAGAGCCTAAAACATGTCATCACTGAAAATCAATGAAGAAAATTTTTGTATATGTAAAAACACAATTGTGCTTTATGCACTGCTCCTATATCCCAAATGAAGTAGGGATGACAAATAAATGGAAGGGTGGGTAAAAGACACAGATTATATTGAAGTGGACTATATCAGAACCAAATTGCACCCATGTGAATATTTCACAGTAAGCTTATAAGAATCTCTAAGATTACCTGAAGTATCCAGGGCCACAGATGACCCACCAACTTTCTAAATGAATGCCAGAAAATCCATCTGAACTGATGGCAGAGGGTGGTGACATATGTAATCTCCTTGAAGGATGGGCTCCCGTAATTCTGGCCACCTGAAAGTTTCTCTAATTCAGTTTCTGTTTCTCTGAGGAGAGGGGATTTGGTATAAAACTGAGCCAATTTGTCGATCATTCGCAGTTTTCTCATAAACAGCTGTCCAGCCTCATTGACTTTGGAATAAAAGTAGAAAAAGAAGATAAACCTTATTAAACCAAATAATTGAATCCATTTTTCTGTGACCCAATTCGTGGATAACAACTTTAAAGCTTACATATAAAAAAACTACTACTAGCATTATCATTGCTTTACACATCAGAATAACAGGGAATTAACATGACTTCTTCCTAAATCTTATGGTGACTGTAAATGCACAGACCTTTTCATAAATATGGGAACCCTAAATCCTTAAAACAGATTCCTTAACATACAAAATTTAAGTCTTAATAAAAATATTTGGTCCTTGTTTTCTATTATTTCCAAAACATGAAGTGCCGATTTCTGTCTCTAAAAATATGACAAAAATTATTATATTTATTTTTTAATGGAAACTCCTTTTACAACTGAATGTAGCACAAAAGTGGTCATCATAAATTCAATTAAAAACATCCATAGCACTTATGAATAATAAAGTCTATATGTTAACTGTTATTATAGGAATTCAGAAAGCCATGTTTTAATGAGCCACCACATGGCTGACCTTCAACCAAATCAACCAGGCAAAAATCTATGAATCTAAGACATTCATATACCTTCATAGACCTTCTTTCTGTTTACTATCACAGGAGGGGAGTCTCCATTGATGACATCCATGAAGAAGTCTGAAGGGTTGTTGTAGAGCTCACAAAGGTAACCTATAAAAAAAAAACAAACAAAGATGATGTTCATGGAAAGTAAAAAGGACCCACTTCCAAAGAGTGAGAGAAGTGAGGCTAGGGTAGACAGAATCTAACATTTTTCTCTGCCATATTTGCTTTCTTCTCACATCACTAATTTTATACTTTCTTATTCATTCACACAATATTTCAACAATGCTTTGTTTCCAAACCGTGTGTGTGTGTGTGTGTGTGTGTGTAAACACACACATATATAATACATACATACATATATCACATATATGGATATGTATGCATATATACATGTATATATGTATACATGAATGTGCGTGTTTTTTTTTCTGGGAGTTCAATCTTGGACTCATAATATATTGGTCCTTTTTGTCAAAATCAATCAATGTTTATCACTTCTTAAATATAGACACAAGAAAAAAAATGTGTGGGTTCATTGTGTTTTCTGAGTTCATTAAGTAATGCTGAAATAGCACTATGCATGTCAATAAGATTGCTTCTCCAACTATTAAATTCAGAGGTTCAAATTATCATTTTCGTGTCATGCTTCCATAATTCAGAATAGACAACAAATTGCCAGAACTTAATTCTTGAGAGAACATGTTCAGCACAGCACACTTAAACTCTTACCTCAACTACTTATGGCACAATCATCTGAACTTGGCCTGAGATCTGACTCTTAAGTGTATCTCCTCTGGGCTTTTTTTAATAAAGAGAGGGAGAGGGAGAGAGAGAGAGAGAGAGAGAGAGAGAGAGAGAGAGAGAGAGAGAG